TTCACAGGCTAAAACTGACATATCTTTTTCGACAATTTAAACTAGTGTTCTTTAGTAGAAAACATAATAAAACTTAAATCAAAATCATCTTCAGATATAAGCAACTATAAAACACGTATGCCATCTTGGGTTTTTGCTATAACAGTTTGAGTTTGATAAAAACGAAGATTTTCTATGCCAGGGTCTCGAACTTGTATTAAAATATCATAAATGTCCATTTCTTTATCACAACTATGCCTTACATTTGCATATCTTGTCTAATCCGTTGAGAAAATAAATTTTCAAATCACTAAAAATGCTCATAAAGCGAGCGTGTTACCCCTGGACCAATGCAGTAATAAAGTAAAAATTAAAGCCGTAATGACATTATTCCTTTCTTTTCAAATTAGTCTACACGTATCATGAAAGTAAAGCAGAACGTTTTAAAGTCGAAATTATCGAAACGAAGAAACTGACAAATTTAAAAGTCACGGTCGAAAAGAAAAGCATAATAATGAAATCACGACATTATTTATATATAAAGATAAAAATGTTATTGAATGGAAGCGATTAAGATTTTATATATACACATGTATTTAGAATATTCAATGTTGAATTCATATATTATTTGAATTGTATCATCCAGTGAACATTAAATAAATCTATATTAAACAAATCTTCAATTGTTATCAATATTGCAACCTATGAATAATCTAAACTTCTTATATCACGACTTTCAATGAATCATTTGTCACTAGTCAGGAAATTATTGTTATATATTTCCCTTCTTTTCGGTTAGTTAAAAATTTATTGTACAGATGTATTTAGCAGAAGTGCTAGGTTTTATATGTTAATTGTCATTCTAATATTTAATATAAACATCAGTAAGGCATTGCAGTATAGTTTGCATTATTAACAGCAGCCTAATTAATTAAAAGTGTTTGTGCATTTTATAAATGAAGCTGTTAAATTTTGACAAAACATGTAAAATAAATGTTCTTCATGTTTTTCAAAAAGGATAATCAGGCATTAAAAATAGAGAAGCGATAATATGTTACGGCATATATGATTTAACATGTGTTTGATAGTTATAACCTCCATTTAGTATTTGCCTACATAAACTATATGATCTTCTTGACTTTAAAACGAGTCAAAATTTGATAATCTTAATTCAATGACATGCTTTACCTATAATACGGTAACCAACAACCGAATTTGATCTACTACTTTCTTACATATTCAGGTAAGTGTCCAATAATATTAGCTAATGTTACCAGCAGTAATTATGATCCTAGCTATCTGCAATATAAAGTTGTTGGAGCATGCGAGTAGTTCCCGTACAAAACTCGTAGTAACTTAAAATAACAAACTATTTTAGTATGTGCACTCACAAAACATTGATTTTTAAACATTATTAGTCGGATCGTCAAACAAATTATGGAAATTAAGGAGAGAGTTTCATATAAGCTCCAAGCTTTCTACTCAATCCTGAATGAAATTTATATATTGTAATATTGTCTGTAAATATTGATGAAGAAATAAATATTGTTTAAACCAAATTATGAAAATCCCATTATGTTCTGAACATAAATTAACCCTTAGTTATAAGGCCTGGTATCGGGCACTATAGTCTGTCCCATCATATGTGAATATTCCTTTCTTTATTTAATATAATAGTAAAATCATTTAAATTAATGTCATGTTAACCCTGACGTCAATATCTCTAGGCATGTTTTTCTTTTTTTTTCATAAATTCAGTAATATGGTCAAAATGTTAAAATCATATTTTTTCCCGTTGACTTACGTTGTAACCTGACGTGACGTCCAAATGGCGGCACCCATATAGACGTCATTTAGGGTTCGTCTCACAATTAGCATGAAATGTACTGGATAATTATAAAAAATTCTTCTTCTTATTAACTTACTGATCAATAGTTGAATGTTATCATTAAAATGAAAAATAAAGTTGGTGTCAAAAAGGCAATTCTACCATCAAACCATTATTTAAAATGATCAATTTTAATCATTTGAAGTGAAAATATCAGTAAGCTTTATAAATTCTAACACACAAAGATTTAATTAATTACCATGATATACTGTCGTATTATATATTGTTTAAGAGAAAAAGAACAATGAGGTGATTTGATTATATAGCTTTTTAATCAAGCGCGTATCTTGAATACCGCAACGCGTCGTAGGGGAACGGGAACACTAGCTAGAAAGCAAACAAAAAAATGGTTCTTCGCTAATTAATGTTTAGTTTACATGATTCTGTAGTTGTCTGAATTCTGTCCATTAGTGTGTATCACGTCTATTAAAAAATAAATAAATTGACCAGGTTCGATGGGATACAAAAATATGTCACCCTTCTAATTACATTGCGATGTTCGTGCGCTAAAACTTTCCGTACAAGAAATCGCCAACAAATACTACATTATCATGCAAATTTGACAAATAATATAAAGAAAGGAAAACTGATTCACTTTGCGTTCAGCATTGGTTTGCTTGTTACCACAGTGTCTACTTTAACTAACTCCCTAGCTAACGAGAGAACACAGACTCGCGTTCGAGGAAAATGTAAATTATAAGAATATATAATATCATGCTTTCTAGTTTGAGCAATCAAACGTAGGCCTATACACTTTAAGCCTGAAAATACAGATTTAACTTCCCGTCTCACAATGCAACAAAATGTCCAGAAATACTGGCAGTGATTTGATATTATTATTTTATTAAGACGTTTGAATTGGAGTGTTCAATAAGCGACAATAAGTGTTTTTTTTGTAGACTCAAAGTGTTACATATAATTATTTTGTTAATATGAAGGGTAGATCGAGTCAAAGAGAAACACCGAGTGACGTTCTCAATATTTTTAGCCTTCCTAAAATTTGAAAATATTCAGTGAAAAAAAAACAAAAAAAACAATAGATCTAGCATATTTTGAAATCGCGGGAGAAAAATACCGCGTAGTCTATTGTATATTTTGTAGCTAAAAGTGTAGGATTTACTGAAGTCTTGAATAACAATATAATATGTAGGGAAATTATTTCTGAGAAATATATAGAATAGTTTAAAAACATAAAATCAAAACGAATGTTATATGTAATTAATGGAAGAAGTATTGTACTGTTCTAGATTCATGTCGTCAAGTGTGTTTAAAATTATTCTTAAATGTTATCAAAAGTTTTATATTATTAATATATGAATTGAAGGTGTAATTTTTACAGTTAAGTTGCAAAATCTGGGTATACAAAAATTATTTTAAATGCCATCAAGACAAATTTATCTCAACGCTTAAAATTATCTGTTTGAGGTTACATATGCCTAACCGCCCTCTGTCAATGCCGCAACTGGAATCATCCATAAAAAGCGCGAGGCATTTTTGTTACGTCATATATTTCGTAAATTGTTGTTGACGTAATAAAGTTTTTTTCGTCAGGAATCCATAAGCATTGTGATGTTGACAACTAAAATTGATGGGCCGTTCTTGAATTATGGATTTGGAACATGCTGAATTATGATGTGTTTCATTTACATATTTCATTTGCTAACCCAGATAACTCCACAAATTGAACAATGTTTTAATAATGAGACGGATTATCAGTTCATCAAAAGTGTAGGACTAGTAGTCATGACATTCAGGACTTTTGAAGTAAAAAAGTGGGATCTACGGAACTGGATAGAAACTAGCAATGAAGAAATCTTCAGAATGCGAATTTGTCGTGACGTTTATAAAGTTCATAGGGATTCTATTCAGCTTATTTCTAGATCTTCTCCATGTGACTCGGTGTTCTTGTTGCTTATTTTTCATTTTTTTAAGTTTAATTGATATTATTTTCAAAATACTACTAGTATCACACAAATAAGAGCAAAACATGCCACTAAAGCTTTACAAGCCAAACAATTTTTTATATAATTTCAATATGCCGAAAAAACTATCATTAAGAGTCAAGAGGTTTCACCAGGATGTCCCAATCCCCGTTTTAGCTAAATAAGCAACGGTTTAATGACAACTAGAATACTTTGATTGCCACTTTATCTTTTTATCTGCTGGCAAGTGTTTGTATGGTGCCCTTGTGGGTATCCTACATGTGAGTGAACATTTTAATGCTGTATTCCTGGAAAGTCCCCTTATCGTTATGTTTTTTCTCTCTGAAACTTTTTAATATCATTTATTGCTTCACCTGGTTGTTCTTCCTGTTTACTTCAGTTTTACTTTGCTATAATTTTTTTCAAGTTCAATAAGTGAGAGTTGATTATCTTAAAACAAGCGAAATTAAGCGCAAGCGTAATATTCCTGAAAATTAATGGTGTTACATCACAGATGTGCACTGCTCAAAAAAGGGCCGAAAAAAATATATCCGACTTTAGCTAACACTTATGGTCATATATATCAATTCCTCTAAATTTCGACTTGTAATTATAAAAATAAAATGTTATCCTTAAATTTCTTTTCTGCATCATATCTTGCCATACTCTATTGCAACCTCAAAACTTGCAACAAACTCTTGTCTTGCATAATATTCACTTATTCACTCTTAACCGCAATTATTATTATTTTAGCTAATTGTAAAATGAAAACACGATTTTTTAAATAATTTAAAGCGCTACATTTGAACCGCTATAATTAAGTTTGTGCATGATTGTTTATCATCAGTATTAAATTTCCTGATAAGCGTTGTAACATGATAATCTGTCTGGTAGTAAACATACCGACGCATACATTATTCATTTATGTTAACTATTTGTAACATTGCTTTGAATCAACGTGACTGTTAATTCCAAAAGAGAATATTCAAGTTTTAGGAATAATACTTATTTTGAATAAAACTTTGATTTTTGTCTAGCGTATACAGAAGATGTTTTTTTTTTTTTTTGTTTTGTTTTGGGTTTTACGTCACATCGACACAGTATAGGTCATATCGCGACGTTCCAGCTTTACTGGTGGAGGAAGACCTCAGGTGCCCTTGTGTGCAATGCAGGCAATAAAGATTGTGATTCTGTGAAATCGGCCGGGGACAAGTGTTTGTATGATTGGAACACGAATGTAAATCATACGAAAGGAATTTTGTTCTTCAGAAATATACAACAACTCATTACTAAATTTCCCAAGATTATCAACAGCTGACAACGCAAAATGTGCACAGGTATGTCAAATATTAAGATCTTATTTTACATTGTAGAATTCTTTTGGACGAGTACATAGCTGTCACACTTGATAAACAAGGCGCTATCTGGACCCGAGTCCAAAATAATCAGTATTTTACTTTGCAATGTATTATTACATTTTTATTTAAGCACATCATTTTTTTGACTAGCTACTGAAAGATTGACATCATAGGTAAGATATATACCTTAAATTACACCTGTATGCAAAATTAAAACGAGTTTTACAGTACGGAAATCAAGTTATGGCCACTTTTCTGAACTGAAGCTCGGATGTTATTAGAACCCTTTTTTAGAAATGAGGAACCGTTAAATAATCTGCAATAAAATTCTAATGAAAAATATTTTCCCATTAATTTTTGTTAAGAAACATATAGTACCATTCAGTTAAAAATCAACATAAGTAAAAAAATGGTTTCGACTCAAAATGTATGATATATGTATTAAAATGTTACCATACCCCACCCATTTTTAACACGTGTTTGACGATTTTGCTACTTAGGGAGCCTAATTAAAATAATTTTTAAAATTTACCCAAGTGAGTGCCTGTTTTCAAAGTTTCCATACATGTTTAAAGAAGTATATTGGTTGATCTTGTAAAATATGAAATACTTTTACCGTCTAGTTTTGATTCTATTACACTTTGAAAATATAAGGTACCATATTTATTACTAGATATAGCATAATGTAGCCCAAAAATACTTATATGAATTAAATAATCAAAATGAAACACTCTTTTCTTCCCAAAAGGGACATGGGATATATATAAATAATGTTTAAAGGAAAAAAGAGTTGTCCCTTCTGGGGTTTGAACCTACGGTCCTCAGTTTCAATGTAGTTAACAGTAGTTCTAGCCTATTTGAATACTCTTCAAAGCGGAGGTAATGCAGTAATGCATTAGGATGAACATACCTTAATGTCACTTTAAATCTTCTTGATATAATATGAACCTTCATTTTAAATGCATTACTTGTTTTGTTAAATTCGTATTAACTGAAAATGTCAAAATCAAAGGTAATAAAATAAGCTAAATTAATCTCTGCTATCATGCTAATATATGAGGAAGATTCATTCACTGCTCAAGTGCTTTAGTGAGCGCCTGAAGTAATTCAATTAAGAAATGATATCGGTCTAAGTGGTGTTTATCGGCTATTTCGTAGGTCTGAGTGGTTAATTTCTTCGCATCAAAACGACAAAACCGGTGTTAAATTGCAGATAAACACCGCTCAGACCGATATTATTCCGATTTTAACAAGATACAAGAAAATCATTGATGCAAAGCATCAAAGGGCGTCCAAGCAAGAAATGCAGCAAGTGAAAATGAACTAGTAGATATCTTATGACCAGACTTTTCAATGGTTAACTGGTTTTTACCAGAATTGTATATCGTTTATGAATGGGCAGACAAAAGACATTGTTCATCATGAACTTTGGTAGACATGCTAGTGATTAGAATATTGAATGTATTTTCCACAGGAACTTGAAATTCTATCAATATTAACGAAAATATAAAAAATATACAGGTCTATAATATCCAAAATATACCCTCCTATATAGTATAAGTTTATTTATATTATAAAGAGGGTATTTTTGGATATTGTCATTAATATTGGTTATTTTGTTAGAATTTCAAGTTCATGGGGTATTTTCTTTGGAACATAAAAAAAGTAGTCAAAATGAACAAAGTCTGTTAATTGATTTATTGGAAGGTCAATCTACTATTTTATGAAATACTTCAAAACCCTCGTCTGAATCACCCGAGTGTTTACATTCCTATCAGCAAACCCATAACAACTCATGTTAAATTGCAGACGAAAGTTTCTGTTGTTAAAATGACAATATTCGGCAAATGAATATTCCACTAATACTACCCTTCACAGTTACCTAAAGAGACTTGAACAGCGAAAAGGTTTTATAGTTTACTACTGCTAGACCTGTTAACCAAAATAAAAGCGACATTTAAAGTTATGAACTTGGTCTATTTAAATATTCACGGTGCAATCAGGGCCGTAAAATAGAAAACCGGAGATACATACGGAAAAGACAATTTCTATGATACAACAATTCGTACAAAGGCCGACTTATTTTCTTACTATAGATTTATTAAGAGTGCAATTAATTGTTTGAATATGTTTCTGCAAAATTCTCCAGTCATAGCGCAACAGGAATGACCATTTCGATAAACTAGAACTACTTCTATAAATAGATTTTCGGACTTTCACAATTTTAAGGTCATCATTCTATTTATAGGTACAGCAGTAACATACACAATAACCCACATGATAAATCAAAAACCCGAAGAGGGCGATTAATTGACGGATAAGATAATGTCATATTTCACAAATATGTTTGCTTTGGGAAATTCTCCAGTTCGCTATTCATTAAACATATCGCGACATTCATTTTTCCTCATACCAATCGGAATGATCGGCTATTATGACAGACGAAAACGCCCGAGAAGTTGCAATTGCCCTTTTACAAAATCTGATTTCATTCCATAAGGGGCGTAGCGCTTCGGCGCGGGCGCCAAAAATAAGGAAGATTACAAATGTTATTATTTCAAGCGGAAATAACTTCCGGTGCCGATTTTCGTATGTAACGCTGTTCGCACCCTACTGTTGCTACGATATAGAAATTATTAACGAAAGAAATAATAAGAAAGTTTTTTTATCAAGTTTTCAACAATAAAAACGTTTTATAATGGATTTTATTGCGTTTAATTTATGATTTATTTATGTTTGAAATTACGTCAGCGTTTATGAATGAGTTGTATACTTAGGATGACGTCATTACGTTGCTTACGGATTACCGCCATTTTTTTCAAAATATCTATTAGCTGATATGGATCGAATTTGTGGCATTAGAGTATATGAGATATTATTTCGGTATTACATGATAAGACAATATTATAAGAACTGAAAATATAGATAAAAATGTTTTTTTTTTTATAATTGTTGCTTTAAAAGACTTTGTAAACTATATAATCGAGAGAGAAAACATAACAGCCGCATATACAAGTAGTCCCTAACCAGTGTTTATTCGCAGTTTAACACCGTTTCTTTCCTTCTTTGTCTATTGTGACAAAATCACGAGGAGTGTTAGAATATGAATCCATATTTATACTTCATAAAGATGTCCACTTACTACTTTATATGAACTCACTTTCAATTGCTGTGTAGTTATTATGCTTAACTTTGTATTTCTGTGTGACATTAAGAGGAACGGTGAGTAATGTGGAAGCTGGCTGTATATTTGAATGATAGATGATGTTACGTAATACAATAAGGTTTGCTCTTATATTCCTTTCAATAAATGCTTGTTTTATACAGGAGATATCATTTGAAGAGAACACCAACGAAGTATCTTCAGGAAGGATGCAAACTTTAGGCAACGGGGCCTTGTATTGTAAAAGAACAAAAAAGACAGTGTTGAATGGCAAAATGCACAAGCAAATAGCTCATTGTAATGGTATGATGTTAGCTTCTATTACTGATTGAAGATGTGCTAGATATCTTAAGTATTGTTCATTCAAACACCCAAACGAAATCTGAAAAGTGTTGGTTTTAAGTCACAACTACCCTTAAAGTCATATTGTGTATAATAAAAGATGTAAACCATATTAACCCGCTTTGAGAGGCTAACAACTTTAATCACTCGGCCTATTAAAATAAAAATAATGAAACCAACAACCATTTGTAATTGGGAAAAAATGTAAAGGAATTGTCTTCCACAAAAACGCAACGTTATAATGACATTTCAAGTCGGAGTCTTTTAAAATAAAGGATGCTATAAAATCAATTTCAATGAATTACATTTTCTTATTAAATATCCTCTATGATATTAAATGAAACTGTTTACAGTTGAAAGACGAAGACGAGGCCTTATTAATGAAAGGATGGTTAAACTACAGGGGCTACTATTTCCAGGAAGGTATTTATGATTTAAATCCATACTAGATTTGGTCTCATCTTATGATAGCATAAATATACATTTTACTTTCATTTTCTGAATAGATATTGCCGCCAAATAATTATATATCTGCTGGCACAAGTGCACATCTTTACAGGCAACATTACTTGAAGTGAATGCCTTAAAGATGGTTCGACAGTTTGGTTTCAATAAATACCTTGATTTAAATGCTCATATTGAGAAAAGTATTACACAGAATTAAAAGAATGCAAGTTTATTTGTACGATTATATCTTCATTGTCTCACTGAGGTAGAAAATAGATCTGCATTACGAAATTGTATATTTTAAGGGATAAATTTCAGTACAAAATGTCAAAAGAGTGATGTCTTAAAGAAAGCAATTGACTGTATTTCACGTATGAAAGAGGATTATGACAGGATAAGGAAAGTCGAAGAGGCTGTTGTGAAAGTACGTGAAGAGAATAAAGTGTTGGCGTCGCAAGTTCAGGTAAAGTATAGGATTAAACATAACAATAATAGGAAAGTGTATTCTACGTGTGACTTACGTTTATTATTTAAATGTACTTGCCTTCTTCATACTGTTTTATTACAAAAGTACAAACATTCTCTTTAAAGTGTCTTTTTAAATTGAAACATGGTTAATTTTGAATCATTCAAGTATTTCACTTAAAAGAGCTTCAAGTTTGATTCAGCAAGTATCACGTTTCAGATGCTAAAGTCTTTGATGAATTCTAGCGCATATACACCATCAAATAACATGGTGAATATACATTATGATGGAACGACATCGGTAGCATCAACCGTTAGCAAAGGCAATCAACTTGAAAATTGTTCAAGCGCACAGAATTTACAAAATAAAGTAGTTTCTATGGAATCTGAGGCAACACAAATGAATCGATATTTTGACGAGTTCCTATTAGCCTAAAAGCTATGTTTTATTGTTTATACTGAAACATGTGTTTACTGTATTGTACGTATCATATACATGTTAGTTATATATAATTACTATATCATGATATTTGTATCTAGTTTATCAGTAATCAAATTATTCAATTACACAATTAAAATCAGAAAATTGTTACGTGTTTTAACATACCTCAAAATAAAAAAATCCATGCAATGCAAACATTTCGTCTGACATATCTGAATAAACAGTAGATATTGTACATTGTATAAAGCCGTGCTTATCAGAAGATTCGAATCAAAACCGGGTCAGACAATGTAATATGCACTTATTAGCGAATATGAAAGTTTATCCATCATACCACTTTTAATAGGAGGGAGGGAGAGGTTTGTTTTAAAAGAGAGGAGAAATTGATCAAATTATGCATACAGTATTTCAGCACATCTGCATGTTTATTTGTTTGTTGGATTTTTACGACACGTCAACACATAACTGGCCATATCGTGCCGAATGCCATAATAGGCTTAAAATGTTATGTAAAACTTTGTAAATGACAATAAAAATGAGCCTTGAATACAAGTTTACCTCTTTCAAATAATCAATGATGTTTTTTGATGGAATTGTATTAAAGAGTTCTTTCAGTGAATTAACAAAATAAAATCTTTTACGAGCCTGTGAAAAATCATGACATTCCAGAAGAAAATGCTCGACAGTAACATTTTCATTACAAGCTACACAGAAAGGGGCTTTGTCATTCGTGAGGAGATAAGAGTGGGTAATTTAAGCGTACCCAATTCAGCATCGAAGAAGAACTGTTTAATCAGTAATGTTTGGCAGAGATAGAGATGGTGACACATCAAGAGATGGGTTTATATCGTGAAGTTTATTAAAAACGGCGTTGTCCCAATTTGCTTTCCATTCAGATGATACGAGTTTATTTATAGCCGGTCTAAAATCACAAGCACGTAACAATAAGTCAGTTTTTTTGAAAGTTTAATGAATGTTTAACTAAAGCATCTACTTTTTCATTTCCCCATATACCTACATGACTTGGAATCCAATATAATTTAACAGATTTTGTTTTAAGTATAATATCATGAAATCGTAAAAGAAGTTTCCTTATCATGATATTGTCAGATTTTTTTATATTTTTAATGGATATTAAAACAGAAAGCGAGTCAGAAAATATCACAAATTTATCATGGGTATGCTGTACTGTGTATGACAATGCTAAATCTATAGCTTTTGCTTCAGCAGTAATAATTGATGCATTATCTGGTAACCTAATACTAGATGTAAAATTATTTCCAAACACAGCCGCATCTACTTTGCAACCTTCTTTTGAACCGTCCGTATAAATATGTATAAAATCTTCATGTTCTTCCTTAATTGCTAGAAACTTCTCTTTGAAATGTTCAGGTGAATTTGATGACTTTTTAATATTTGAAAGGTTAATATTTATTTTCGGGGAATTATAAATCCAAAGTGGAACATCCTCATCGTCATTTTGAAGGATACTGTCTGGATTAATTTTAAGTTTATCTAAATCATCTTTTAAACGAAAGCCTAATGGTTTAAGTTTGGTTTGTTAACAATTTTTTTAGTATAACTTGGTTTGAAAATAATATTTTAGCTGGGTTTTTGCTATTAGATGAAATTCTAGTTGCATATTGAAGTGATAGCTATTTTTACGAAGATGAAGCGATGGTTCCCCAGCTTCCGCATATAGACTTGCTACAGGAGAGGTGCGAAAAGCACCTAAAGCTTAACTTAAACCCTGGTGATGTATGGTGTCTAGCATTTGAAGATACGATTTTCTTGCAAACCCATATACTACAGAACCATAATCTAATTTTGATCGGATAAGACTTCTGTATAATTTCAGTAATGTAATGTGATCTAATTCGTAATATAAAAATATACCATTTATAACTATTCAACATAGAATCTCTATTTAATGTGACTTATTATAACATGTTTTACAAATAAACAATTGCATTATCAAATATTAAATTCATTACAGTTTCGACTGAAAAGAGTCGTCCTGTTCACGCTTCTTTTTAATCTTACTTAGAAAGTAACGTAGACAATAGCGTATATGCATTTACTACTACGATCCATTAAAGGAACCAATCAAACCGAGTCTCCTACATCATATTGAGTATGTTGACTCTCTCTCTGATTTCCACATAAGTTTGATATTTTTTTCATAGTTATACTATTACCTAGCATAAGCCTAAAGGTAAATGTTGTTTGCTATTTGTTGTCTTCTTTGCTGTCTGTAAATCTTACTCTTTTAATTATTTTTATTTTATCTATTTTACTAGTTCAACTTGTGAGCTAGTTTTACAATTTTCCCTGTGTAAAAAACTTTCACGATTTACACTCTGTGGATATAAATCACAAATAATTTCCGTCATATAAATAACTTTACATATATTTCATTTTTATTTAAGCACAAAGAACGTGTCAAATAAATAAAATATGCAATATTTATGTAAATTTATGTCAAATAACTTTGAAGATATGAATGCAAAATTAGGACCATAAAGATTGTTTTACCTATAACTTATCATAATGACGTGTATTTAGGCTTTTAATGAAATGATACATGATACAGGCTACACATTTAGCACATTAGCAAATGAACATATTGCAATTGCGGTTTCTGTCACCTTTGATAAATAAACGACGAGAGAATCCATAATGTATTTCTTAAAGGACATAATTACTGTAGTTTCTTTTGATTCCAATTGGAATGCTTGACGTATTCGTAATTTATGTAATGGAAAGTTAACCGAGAATATATATCTCATAAGGTAAAAGCAGTAATTTACTAATTTAGGATGGTACTATTTTACACGTTTTAGGTCGGGCAAATGCATAGAACAATATTTCATTTTAGTTAACGAAGCAATAAGTTTATCATATAAATCAAACTTTAAAATAGAGCAGAATATATATTCTACATTTTACATCAAATTTATGAATGCTTTATATTTAAGGACATAAAATAAACACACGTGATATAAATAGTTTCTCAAGAATAAGAGACAAATGTTATTGATTAGAACAACTGACCCTTGGGGAAAACATTTTTCATGTTGCGACCAGCATATCGTTCATGGTGGTGATGATATGATTTCTTATTTCTAAATAATCTTATATTAAATGTACATCTCTAGCATTTTAAATTGATCTTGCATTGTAACGCATTTAACGACCAAATAGTGTTCATTTGCTTGTGCCTTAGGTTTTATTTGTTCTCCCAAAAATCAGTAACTTTTGAAACAGAATTTAATTGTGGCTTTAAAAAATTTGACTTTTCAGTGTGACATTGAACTCGCGGGTAGCGACTAAGATGCTGTATTCCGCACATTGTGCTATGCGGTAGGTGATTTGTGCTAAGTCATTCATAAACAACTTTCAGTATTTAAAGATTTAGAGCAGACACATCATGTTAACTGTTAATATATTTTACTAACAAATGACCCGATTGTTATGCTCCGCATATTGTTACATCAGTGTAATGACAAAATGCTACAGAACAGACTCGAAAATGTAACTGACAGACAAATAGACAGGCGGGTAGGCAGATAGGCATGCAGGCCAGCAAAAAGACAGAGGTCATTCATAAATTCACCTCTACACTACGCCGTTTCGAATAAACAATTTTGAATCACTTGTGTAAGATGTCGTTTATGCCTTAAACTCTTCATTTAAAAAAGAAATGATTAAATAATTTTTACAGCTTTTGTCCTTCCTTATTCTCGTAATATTTAATAAAATTTGTTGTTACAAATACGTAGAATAATGAAGCCTTACTTAGTGAAGTGCCCTTCCCATTTTACACTATACAAGCATTACAATAAAAGCGTACATGTTTGTAAGAATTAGGAAGATAATTCTATTAAGTTAGTTTCTTTATAAACCATTAAGTTAGTTTCTGTATAAAAATGAATTATGACCCACCAATAACATTGCAGCAAACATACCGAATCAAAAAAGTGATATGAATAGATGCCAATAACATAATTTATTCAAAATAGTTGTTTCATATAACACAGTAGTCAATGTAAAACAAGAGCCATGTTACCCGCCGAATGTGTTTGCTCATTGGAATAATGTATATGAAGTAAAGCAGAATTATTCAATTTAAAGTGGTCTTATGGTTATGGAAACCATTACAGATTTGAAACCTATGTGAATACTGATGGCTGAAAATAAGAAAGGGCAATTACTGAAAAATAATGCAGGGTAAGTTATCATTGTTGTGTGCTGCACTCCTCCACAATGTAATCTATCCACCTATGAAGTTCCAATATGATACCTCTTACAATTTTTAAGACAAGCTCCAGACAAAAAGTATGAAAAATAACAAAGGGCAATAACTAAAAAATTATAAAGGGTAGAGCTATCATTCTTGCGCTCAGCATTCCTCCTCAATCAGATAAATACACCTATGAAGTTTCATGTTGACATCTCAAAGGCTTTTTGAGTTATGCTCCACTCAGGTGAAAAAATAAGTATGAAAAATAACAAAGGGCAATAACTAAAAAATTATGAAAGGAAGAGTAATCATTCTTAAACAGTGCACACTTCCTGAGTAAGATCTATCCAC